GCCATACCCTAAAAGAATTTCACAATTTAGTGTTCTTGCCTTTTTTTTATTTTTTAATTTTTTTTTATTTTGGGGAAGGGTCTACAGGGTGTGCAGGGTTTCACTGTTAGATCAGACTTGTAGTAATCCACCTGTTTGCAGCCTCCCAAGAGCTGGGATTACAGGCTTGTGCCACCATGCCCAGTCTTGAGCCTGCTTGCAGGTGCTTTAATCCACTGAGCTATTTGGCCGGCCCTTGTTCTTTCATTTTTGTGAAAAACATAATTATGTTCAGGACGAATCAATATTTAAATCAATATTGTGGTATTTTTTGGATTCAGTGAATCAAGCAAATACACAGAACAGTTTCTTCCTAGAAAAAAGCTAGGCATAGAGATGTGTGCTTTAGTATTTAGGAGGCTGAAACACGAGAACTGCCCCAAGTTCAGAATCAATCTGAGCTGTGTAATAAGACTCTTGGAGGGATGGAGTGGATAGAGGAGAAAATTTCTAGTGTCACTGAATGTAACTTTGCTATGTGGAGCTTTGTTGTAAGATCATTATAAAGTAAGAGCAAGAATTAAATCCTACTTTTGACTACATTCAGAATTCAGAGATACACTTAGAAGTATTTTTCCCTTTATATGAATCTTTTAAGGAAGTGGAGCTATACATACAGGACTCTGATCACAGCAGTGTATGCTGTTTCTAAGTATGCCTGTTTCTCTCCTTATTCATTAATGTCTAGCAGTGGAACATATTCCACCTTAGAATCATTTTTGGTTCCACATTGTAAATTTTTTATTGGGCTTGGAAAGTTCAACTTAGGAATTTTTTTTGAGCAGTGGGTTAATGGCTATCCAAAGGAAGCTCATACAGAAAAGGTGCTGCTGTTCTGTACTTTGTCCATTATTTAGCTAATTGGTTTTTTAGTACCATCATATATTAGGAAATACATAACTCAGAATGCAAAACATACATAAAATGAACTCTGCTTTTTTCTTCTTTCTTTCTTTTCTTTTCTTTTTTTTTTTTTTTTTGAGACAGTGCTGGCCTTGAGCTCACTTTGTATCCAGTGCTGGAAATTACAGGTTTAAACACCAGGCCTGGCTAAACTCTGCTATTCTGATGCTTATGTTGGACTTTATATTGGTTCTCAGTTGTGGGTGCTTATCAAAGCTTCTGAAGTAAGAACTGTCATCACATTTAGTGGAGCTTCTGTTGACCAAATCAGAATCTATGAGCCAAGATGCTTCGCTTATAAAGATTAGAAAGATAAACCAAATTACAGAACCATAGCACTATAAAAATGATTGTGCCCTGGGAAGACCAAATTGGCTGTACACTTGTATTTCAGAATTTGAGCATTTAAAAATTTTAATCTTGGTATCTTGTATAGCTCTAGGAAACATTGTACTAGTGTATCCCTTTTACTAACAATAAGTTGCATTTGTATGAAATGACTTGCTCTTTAGAAAATGTTTATACATACATTATTTCATCGATGTTCTCATTTGTTCTTTTTTCATAGCTACTCTTTATTAAACAAAAATATACCATTGTATAGACAAGCAAACTAAGATTAAATGGCTGGTCCAAGCCTTTTGATGAGTAATTGTTAGCAGTTGAAATATAGCATGCATTTGGTGCACCCTGTATCAGTACTTCTTGAATTGACTATTTAGCTGTCATAGCCTTATTTTACATATTTTAAAAAATGTAAAAATACCGTAACATTTGGGAAGGTAAGCATGGTAGTACATATCTGTAATTGTAGCACTTGGGAAGCTGAGGTAGGAGAATCAGTACCAGTTTGAGTCCAATATGAACTACAAGACCATGTCTCAAAAAACAAAAACCCACACACAGAAATATCATAAAATTTACCAATCCATTTGTGCTTTTGTTGTATTCTTTAGGATATTCACATGTCTAAAAGACATTACTAGACTGGGCGTGGTGGTGCACACCTGTAATTCCAACGCTTAGGAGGCTGAAAATAGGAGGATCACTATGAGTCTGATCTCTCTAGTGAGACCCTGTAGACCCTGTACTAAATACATTTAAAAAAAAAGAAAGAAAAGAAAAAAGATATTACTACAATCTCATACCTAAAGATTTTTTGATAAGTAGATTTCCCACTTGGACTATCTCAGGAATCAAGACTGGTCTGCCATGCAGTTTTATTGAGGATTCACTGTTGATTTATTGAGCTTTTTAGAAAATAATTTTTTTTTTTCTTGTTGGTGGTGGTGGTGGTGATGGTGTAGGGATTAAGCATGTGTTCTTCCATTCAAAAGTGTACAAGTTGTAAGTGTTCTGGTCATGAATTTTTATAAAATGAAAAAATTCGTGTGACAGCCATCCAGATCAAGAAATGGAAGCATCTCTGTGGTCTCTCCCTTCCAAAAAGAAGTATGTACTATTCATGCTGGCACCAAGGTTTTTCAGAGTAGAACATCAGGCAATAGTATTTTGTAGGAATAAACATCCCAGGGAAAAGCAGCTTGTCCCTGGGAAATCATTTGAAAAGCTAGCTTTTGGCAATGTAATCCTGCCCTCCCTCTTCCTTTTGAGATTAAGTTTAGGGCCTTCACACTGTGCTAAATCACAGCCCATTTTTATTATTTTTTTTTTATGTTTTTGGTTGTTAAAGGGTCTCACTATTTAGCTTTGACTCATGTTGATCCTTCTGCTTTCAGCCTCCCCAGCTCTGGGATTCAGAGGGCGTGCACCACTATGCCTGGACTCTGGCAGGTTTAGCCTGCCCTGGGGGCAGGGCTGGTGTGGCATGTGGTGCCAGGGATTGAACTTTGGTCTTGGTACTTGCCTAAGCAGGCACTTTAGTCCACTGAGCTATCTTGCCGGCCGCCATTTTTTATTTTGAAGTGGGATCTTGCTAAGTTTTCCTGGCTGGGCTCAAACTAATGATCTTTCTGCCTCCACCTCACACCCTTCTGGTATTACAAACTGGTGCCACCATGTCTGGCTGTTAGTATAATTGAGAAAATTACTCACAGTGGCATGTTTTAAGGCAAGGTCAGGATATGAATAGATGGGGTGAGTAATTTCTCAGTGTTTGTGAAGGGTCTCTGAAAGATAATTAAGCACATTAATTTTGATCAATGTGTATTCCTTGCTGTCGGTTTTCTTTCGTGTTGTGGAAATTTTGTATACTTTATTCTGCTTCCTTTGCATTTTTCCTTCCAGAAAGTAAGGGGAACTTTGAACTCATTGAAGATGGTGGTGCTGAGTCAGTGATTTGATTTGTATACCTAGAAAAAAGTTCCTTATTCATGACTATAGGATGATTCTTAAAGCTCTTTTGCTATTAATATGTAATCATTTCCAATATATTACCACCATCTAGACTCTTAACTTGATTTGCTGATAACAAAGCAAACAGGAGTTAATGTTTTACTTTAGAAGTCTAGTTTTATGGGGGGGAAGAGAGAGAGCGAGTGAGAGCGAGCGAGTGAGCGTGAGCAAAAGTCCTATTTATTGAGCTCCTGCTAGTCCCTATATTCAGTGTTAGGGATATAAAAATGAACACACAATTTCCTGTCAGTTTTACCATTACAGTGTGGAGAAAGCTAGTATCTCTAGTCATCTTTAAAAATCTCCTTGCTTTTAGAATCCTTTCATTTTCCCTTCTGCTTTAGGATCTCAATGTGGTACTTAGCTATTATTCAGTCTTTCTGAATTAATAACAGCTTCATATTTTAAAGATTCTACTCTGCAAAACACATCTCAGTGACTGAGAGCTATGGCTTGTCATCTTGATGTTACATGAAGCTAAGTTGTATATCCTAAGTTCCATGTCATGTTTCTTTTTTCATATTATATACTAAAGTTGTCCTTTTCTGTATCTCACTTATAAAGAGAATGAATTTTAAAATAAAATGGGCTCTGAATTAATAGTCAGAAAGTCTTAACAATTTCAGAGTTCTTGAGTTATCCTTTCTTCATCAGCAATCTAAAAATTATTGTAAGATCATTTTTGGTTTTATGTCTGCAGCCCTTCCTTTGTACACAATCAGTCCACAACTGATTGTCCGTGGTTCTGTCCTCCGTTACTTATGTTCCACCCTGTTTGCTTTTGGTGACAGAAAATGCTGTGTAGTAGCTCTCATCTTCTGTTGATTAGATTTGCCTTTTCCCAGGAGCTTTAATTTGGCTCATGTGTGTTTATGTGTTCCTTTATCCAGAAGTAGGTGGTGAGGAATAACAAAGATTACTAGTGTTACAAAAGCAAAGATTACTTTAGTACCTTTTGATGTAAGATTCTTCAAAGTTCTCTCTACCATATCAAGCAACCATACCAAATAGATTTTCCCTTTGAAAATCGAGGTGCATTTTTAATATATAAAAAGCCCAGTGCTTAGCTTTGGCTATTAGTCAGAAGAAACTTGCTTTCTTTCCTTAGAAAATAGAATGTAAACATGTTTGACAGCTATCAGTTCTTCTGGGCCAATGTTATGAGATAAATTCTTTCGCATCAACTCTTTTAGAAGGCCTCCACTTACATCATGTTTGGAAGTAAAGGAGGTTATATTGGATAGTGGGGAGATATGAAATTTCTTTATGAGCTTAATACTTTGCCTTTATATTACTAACTAGCTATCATACCTGGGGGTACTAGGAGTTATGTTATTACATAGACATGATTTGAAAGTAGAGAAGTGGGATCGAGAGGCATACAATTGTGGTTGGGCTTTGGGCTGAAAGGGGAACCTCCCTGTCTCCCCACCCACCCATGAAAACTAAAAACAGTGGGGTGGTGGGGACATTGGTTGTGGTAAGAGTGTCCTAAATTCTGTAACAAACATGTGTCTGTCTTCCCCATTTGGTGAGACTTTCTTCAGTGTTCCTGCCTGTGTTGTTTGTTAATTGGATGTAACGTCTGAAAGAGTGTGGGCACTTCCTCTTCTGACCAGCACCTAGAGTAGCCTGATGTCTGCAGTGGATGTCCACTGTACTAGTGATGATGATTAGTGAAGCTGAAGCTATTTTTTAAACAGGGCCCAAGGGATGCAGACAGTGATGAAAACGACAAAGGTGAAAAGAAGAACAAGGGTACGTTTGATGGAGATAAGCTAGGAGATTTGAAGGAGGAGGGTGATGTGATGGACAAGACCAATGGTTTACCAGTGCAGAATGGGATTGATGCAGACGTCAAAGATTTTAGGTTTGTATGCTTTCCACTTCTGATCTTTGAATGTGGGCTGTGCGTTTTTGTTTCAATTTATATTTGTTTTAGAGAGGCCCTTGTCCCATTTTCTTCTAAAAAATTGAATCTAGCATAGGCCATGCTATAAAGATGTTAATTAACTGATGAGGTGGAATTTTTCTAAGAGTTGTCTTTGTCTGATCCTTTGCCAGAATGGTGAATTTTGCATCGTGTAGAGCTCTAGAGCTTGTAGAAAGATTCCATTAAAAATCTAAGTAATTCTCAAGTATCAAAATCACCTCAGATAGGCACCTTCGACTTTTCCAAGCTTCTTATAAATCACAATATCAGGTACCTCGGGCATGTTAGTGGGAAAGAGTTGAAAACTTGTATATTAACTCATTTGAGTTTCATAAGCTTCTTTAGAGGTGGGTGGGTTAGATATCATTTTCCTCATTTTGAAGAACCAGAGATACAGCTTAAATGACTTGGGTTTAATCCTATCACTTCCACAGGTGCCTCTCTTCCCATCTCTGGTCCTTATTAACTTGGCAGATTTTACCTTATCATTTAATACACACAGTATTACATACTTGTCTTTCACAGTGGGCAACTATTTCTTATTTATACTGGCAACCTTTGGTTATAAGAATGAATTTTAAAGATTTATAAGAATCCTATATAGTAAACAGGTAAATAATACAGTTACATAATTATATAAATACTATAAATATATAGTTAAGTAATTTAAATTGGAATTTCAGTGTCAGCCTAAATTAATAGGAATGTATTTTCATATGTCCCACATAGATGCGCGCGCGCACACACACACACACACACACACACCATCACAATACCTACCAAAGTTAAAATTAGAATGTATTTTGTATCATTTGTAGAACAATGTATCGGTTGTTTAATTTTTATATCTTGAATATGTATATAATTAGTCTGTGCATAAAATTTGAGGCAAAGGGTAACACACTCTTCCATGTTGTCATTTAGCTGAGCTCAGGTGCTCTTCCACTCTAAATTGGCAAGCAGCCTGTAGTATTGTTTTGTATTACTTTGCTGGGGGCTGGTGGTGCTCTGTGCATGAGGGAACATGAAGTTACACTTACTATAAACCAGCTATGGAATTTCTTTCAGGGATGAAGGACATTGAATGTAGCCAAATGCTACATCCCTTGACTATAATATTAATATATGTTAGTTTGATTTTGTTTGTTATAATTCTGTAATCCTTTTACATAGGGTGATGGTATATCCTGGGCTCCCCAGAACAGCATTCCTTTATACTTATATCCCAGGTAACTACTAGTAGTACCCTTTTTTTTTTGCTGTTTGGAGTGTCCTAGCTTGGATGATAAATTATATCCTCACATTAGTTTTAATTTTTAGATTTATCTTGTTAATAGGGGCATAGCCTTAATAGTGAATGAATTTTTGCTGTTTTGAAATGGTCTGCATCTTCTGGCTTATTAAAAGGGAAGAGAGTCTTAACATTGGTCATTAGTATCAATAATACATAAAATGTTTTTGTTAGAATCATTCTGAGATGTGGAATTTCCTGTAGAAAGACTTTTTTTCATTGGCTGTATATTTAAAAAAAATACATGTTGTATTGTATATTAGAATGTTTGGAGTACGTAATGATTACATTCACTGTGGGGTGTTGGTACATATATAAGAGACATCCTAATTCTTTTGTCACTTTCCTTTCCCCCTCCCCCGATGTTGGGGGCATATTTTACTACCTGTGTTTTGACAGGCATGTTTGTTTTTGTTTTTTTTGAAATAGGGTCTCCCTGTGTGGTTCAGGTTGGCCTTGAACTCACTCTGTAGCCTGGGCTGGCCTTGACCTTGAGGCAGTCCTCCTGCCCTATCCTCCTGAATGCTGGGATTACAGGTGGGAGCGACCATGCTCAGTGGGATACCTGTTTTTATGGATGCCACAAGCAACATTTTTTTCAGTTTATCTAGTGCTCCTCAAATCTGAACTTTTGATGAAGGGATTGTAAATTAATAGCAGTTAATTAATAGCAGTTAATGTAAATTAATAGGTGGATGGGTGGGTGGTGGGTGGGAAGACAAATAGAAAAATTAGAGGATGTAACCCTATAAGGACTGTAAAGCTATTTTATAGAAATAGCTTTAAGTATTATTGATAATGAGCTTTGTCAACATTGTCCTTAAACTTGGGATTGCTTTAGTGTCCCTTCCCACTCAAAATAAGGTTTAATGCCCTTTACTTTCTCTGTTTAGCCGTACCCCTGGTAATTGCCAGAACTCTGCTAATGAAGTGGATCTTCTGGGTCCAAACCAGAATGGTTCTGAGGGCTTAGCCCAGCTGACCAGCACCAATGGTGCCAAGCCTGTGGAGGATTTCTCCAATATGGAGTCCCAGAGTGTCCCCTTGGACCCCATGGAACATGTGGGCATGGAGCCTCTTCAGTTTGATTATTCAGGCACGCAGGTACCTGTGGACTCCGCAGCAGCAACTGTGGGACTTTTTGACTACAATTCTCAACAACAGGTACTGTGTGTGTCTCTGTTACTCTTCCTTCTTTCCCTCAAGCACATAATTCAAATAATTAAGGATGAGGGGTTGAGGGGAGGGTGGCATTATCTTAGGCTGTCATTAGCCAGTCCTTACTGTTTTTAACAGTGAAATGGGTTTACAGAGCCCCTATCTTTGCCCTCAGGAAGCTGGCTTTTCATGCCAAGTTTACTGGCAAGAGAGCAACCCTACTATAAGTGTGCTTCTTTTGACTCTTTTCCTCTCAGCACCTGGGGAATGGGTGAGGTGGTGTTGCTTCTGTGTTACTTTCTCTGAAAGTTTATGTGGTTGTGATCCTGCTGATTTGTTTTGTGAAATAGTGAACTCCATTATGCCAAATCATATTAGTCATTTCTCATTTATTTGCTATACATAGCATAGTTATTAACATAATTGCTATAAATAACACAGATAAAGATCTGATATGTTTCAGAAGAGTTAGAATATGATTAGGTGAACATACACAAAAAATCTACAAATAGGCCTCTTGGCTCTTTCATTCACTTCTGGAAATTTTTGTAAGTGTGCCTTGTAGTTTTGAAGGCATAAGAGGACTAATTCTAGACTTTCTGATCTTCTTTTTTTTTTTTTTAAAGAACATACAATTCAGGGTCTTGCTAAATTGCCCAGGTGGAGCTCAAACTTGTGATCCTCCTGCTTCAGCCTTGCAGAGTTCTGGGATTATATGTGTTCCTCACTACATCTGGCTTGAATGGATTTTGACTGATAGGCAGTTCACAAAGTTAACCTTGAAAAGTTTACCAAAAGAAATCTCATTACACCCAATTTTGTGCATAAGTTCATTATCACTGATTATTGTCTAATGGAAATTGGTATGGGTTCCTAAATTTTATCCCTCCAGGCTTTCTATGCATTTTGCTTTTGATCATATTTTACTGTACTTTGCACTTTTATTTAAAATCCTTCCTTTGGTTGGCTGTATACCAAAAAGTTTTCAAGACTGCCTCTTTTCACCTCTGTTTGTGCCTTGTATCTCCTTTAAAAAAAGGAGTAACCTATTCTTCTCCCTTGTGGTCTGACTTCTCTAATGTTCTTGGCTGGATTGGAATTTCCTTGAGGCTAGGAACTTGGCTCTACATCACTTTAGTAGACCAAGTTTTCAGGGAATCTTCCTCCTATCTCTGTTATATCTTTGTGTTTCTCTTATACTTATTTATTTACCTATTTATTTGTATACATTGAATGATTGTATTAGGGTTTGAACCTAGGGCTTTTATACTAAACTACATCCTCAGCCTATATTGTATTGTGCTATTATTATGGACTTATTTTTTGAGCAGCGCTTCAAAGTTACCCAGGCTGACCTGGAACTTGTGATTTTCCTGTTTTTGCCCCTTAATCTCTTGTTTTTAATATACTGTACTTTCAAAATTTACAACTATAAAATTACTGTGTAGTACTCAGGAAGGTTACTGAATATTACCGGAGACTGTATATATA